TCGGATCCGGCGCCGGTCTCGGATCCGAAGCCTTGATGGGTTCGTATTCGCACACCTTCCTCATTATTCATCGTCTATTGTCTCAGGAATCCTTTAATCGTTAATTTGAGTGCTCTATTTATTTCTCAATGCGATGCGCTGTCTCCCAATCCCAAACCCTAATTTCGCAGAGCTTGAGACGAAAAGAATTTTGCTCGACATTTTTAAAGAAAAGCAGAAGAAAAGCGCCGAAGGTGGTACAATTCCGAGTTTCTACAAAAAGGCATGTGAAATAAAGAAACAAAGCGATGCTTATTTCTACTCATTTTTGTTGCGTATTTTATGCACGTCTCGAGCCGGTACAATTATTGCGTTCTTATACTTTATTAGTGATGCTGGACTCTTGAAGACATGCTTGTGTATTAATTTTTTTTTTTTTTAAGATGTGCACCTTTATGGATATGTTTGTTGTGATTAGTTTAAGTGTCTGTCGCGTGAATTACAATAGCAGCCACTTGCAGATTGACTATTTTAAGGATTTAATTCAAATTGATAAGATATCTGTCATTTACTTTTGCCCTGTTGTTATTTAGAGCAGGCAGATTCATACTTGTTGTATTACTTTGTAAGGTTATTTTTTCAATCTTTACAGATTATATAGGATGGTTTGTAGATGTTTGGACTTTAGATTTGGGTTTCTTTGGCATTTATGTAAGAACCTCCATCTGTGGTTCAAGCATTGATATGTCTCTTCTTTGTTCAGAAACCTGAAGATGGATCAATCAGTCATAGAGTCCAGAGATTGGCGAAGTATCGCTTCCTAAGGGTATCTTTTTCTGGCTTAACTCTGTGTTGGTTATGTTTTCCTAAACACTTGATATTTTCTCAATTAGTAACATTCATGGTGTGTTGAACAGAAACAATCAGATCTTTTGCTGAATGCTGATGATTTGGATGCAATGTGGGTGTGCTTAAGGGAGAACTGCGTGATTGATGATGCTACTGGTGCAGAAAAGGTCTGCCATTTTCACATTTGTGTTTTGCTTCTCCATATTTCCAAATTTTATGAAATATTCAACTGGATTTGCCTAAAAATATGACGAATCTTTTAAATCCACTACAAAAGTTATGAGAACTTGATGGGATTAACTTAACCAATCTACCTTGGTCTTAAACAAAGTTGAATTCCTGAACTCTTGTGTTCATGCAAACATAATAGCTTGTTACATCACATCCTCAATAACCATCCATGCTTATGGGTTTTGACAGTTCCTCAATTGTCATTTGATCCTTATATAATTTTCATGATCAGAAATTATTCCAACAAGTGAAATTTGACTTGCACTCTGCATATCCTTCTATTGGAGTTTGATATGTGTGCCATTATGGATTTTTTCTGAGGCATTCTTATTTGTTTCTTAGTGATGATATAAACATACTCTACCTATGTCTATTTTGTCTATCAAAATTATTTTTTCCTGTTATGGGTGATTCATGTTGTTCATCTAATTTATAATTTGGCCAAGATTTCCACAGATAATCTCAAAATTACTATAACATTGTTTATTACGAATCATGCTTTTTTTTTTTTAAATGCTTGGCTATTTTAGCTCCATACTCCACTTTTACAACAATCCTGATGCATACTTCAATTTGTTTCTTACAGATGAATTATGAAGACTTTTGCCACATTGCCTCTGTATGTACAGAACAAATAGGTCCTAAATGCCGGCGGTTTTTTAGTCCTTCAAACTTTATGAAGTTTGAGAAAGATGAGCAGGGAAGAATTGCCATTCTACCCTTTTACCTTTATGTGATGCGAACGGTAGGTCATCTGCTAGTGTTTACTGTTTCATTGGCATTGCTGTTTAATTCTTCTGAAAATACTTCAGTATACATGCATCCGCTTTTGTTTCTTCATTAAAATTTATTTTATGTTGTGTGCATGCACCTTGAACCTGATGAATCTATCTAATGTTCATGACGGCTACTGAGTACTGATTATGGTTGTGCAGGTATCACTTACACAGGCAAGAATTGATATGAGTGAGCTTGATGAGGATTCTGATGGTTTCCTTCAGCCACATGTATGAATTCTTAATGCTATTATGCTTCCAATTATTTAAAATTGAACAATCAGTTTGGTTTCTCATCTATTTATTTTTTTTGCTGTACATATATCATATATGCATATTTTTTCTTATATTGAAAATAGTCATTTCTTTGGTTCAATTTTCTATATGCTCTTTTCCTCAAACAGTAGCATTTCACAGTTCAACCATGTTCATGGAGTGGTATCACACATTTCATTTTATATTGACATGCATATAATTCTTACATTCTGACCTTAATTTTATACAGTGAATAAATTCCTTTTTTAGCCATATTAAGTATTTGAGAATTCTAACCTCTAGGGTGGTTTATTTAATAAGCTCAAATATTATTATTTTAAGTTAACCTTCATTTGTTGTTGCTAATTGTTATTATTATTTTTGACTTTGATCTTCAGGAAATGGAGGCCTATATACGAGGTCTTATACCCAACTTGGCACAGTTACGTGATATGCCCGCAGCCTTTGTTCAAATGTATTGTCGAATTGCTGCACACAAATTCTTCTTCTTTTGTGATCCTCATAGAAGAGGTTTGCATGACTGATATCTTTTAGATGCTGCTTCATGGTTGAATTTTCTCTGTTTGGACTTCTGTATGGTTACAAAAGATATGCTTTTCTAATTTTAAAATAAGAAAATAAAAATTTATTGAGGGAAAACCAATGGGGGCATATCCATATAGCTGCTTTCCAATATGTTCTATGAATAAAAGAAAAAACCGATAGAAATTTAGTACAGAATATATGTAAAGTAGTCCCCTTCAATATTTTCATTGGAGTTTGTAAATAGTTACTCACAACAATCCTGTTATTTTCAATATTCATCTTGTAATAGATGGTTCAAATATGGGATGCTGTTTAGCAATTGTTGAAGTTAACTGTTGACCCCAGAAAGCTATTATATTATATCCTTGGCAGCAATAAATCATTGAACTTAATTTCACTGAGAAAATCCCATTGATGAAGCTTCTAGTCAACATTTTGCATCTAGTCAGAATCTTACATTTGCTAATACAGATGAGAAAAAGGAAACCTTGATGAAACACAAGCTTCCCAGATATTTCCCCGCAGAATGTCTTGTCTCTGCCACGGGGTTTCATCAAATAAAGGCTATTGATGCTTAGATTATAATCCCAAATCATTTGCCACCAATCTTTTGCACCATAAAACATGTCGAAGATGGCTTTGATGGGTTTATTATTGAATCTAATTAATAACTAATATTGGTGCTGCCACCCTATGTGTTGCTTATTCAATATTTTTGAGACATTGTTTAATTTTACATCTACTGCAACAGTGACGGGCTCGTGTATTACAAATTAGTTTCTTGAATACCACTATAAATTACAGGTCATTAAGGGTTGTAACTAAAGGATATAAGCACTAGATTTTGTAGTTTGATTAGTTCCCTTCATGAATATTCAATTTGATGTTGTGTTGCAAATAATTTACTACTACTAATCTCTAGTACTATCAAAATCTAGATAATATATATTTTTTCTTATAGGAAAAGCTTGCATCAAGAAAGTGCTGCTTAGTAATTGTCTCCAGGAACTCATGGAGCTTCACCAGGTAGATTGTTTAAGAACTTCTCTTTATATCTTTAGAACCAAACACCAAAGTATTCAGTTCTCCCCCTTTCCTTTGGTTCCTATTGTCATGGACCTTCTGGCGCTGATCCTTTAATGCATTACCTCACATGATTCATTTGCTTTGTTTAATAATAACTGTGAACAATATTTTGTTCTAACTCCATACAAGTTTGAAACTCTATTTGAGTATATTGTTTGTATATTTCAGGAAAGTGAAGAAGAAGTCACAGACACAGAGCAAGCCGAAAATTGGTTCTCTTTGACTTCTGCTCAACGTATATGTGGTGGGTTTCCTGTGTAGTTTTAGGATTCAGACTCATTTACCAGATGCTTCTGGTCCATTCTACTCCATCTTTGCCTGTTTGTAATACGTTTGGCATAGTGTTAAGGAACTTTTTTTTTATTTTATCAAATTCTTACTATGTAAATTTCTCATTAAACTCGTATGTTGACAGGACTAGATTTCATGATAAATTGAAATTATAAATATAATTAGACCTGAAACTATTTCCTGTCAATTTGTGTTTATGTTTATTCTTAATTTTTCTGCAGACATGTTTCTTGCCCTTGATAAAGATACAAATGGGACATTAAGCAAGCAGGAGCTGCGAGAATATGCAGATGGGACTCTGACTGATATTTTTATTGAGAGAGGTAGAGATTATTACCATAATACCCTATTCAGTTATGGTGTAAATTTTGGCACGAACATCTATTTACATATTCTGAACTCCAAATTCCGGCTTCCTTCAATTTCCACCTATTGGTAACAATAGCTGTGTTTGATGCCCTTGTTCTCTAATTTACTGTGCTATTGTCTTTTACTGCTGGATTGTAACATCTTCTTGGGCTAGTTTAGCAACGTGTGACTTGACTGTCAATGATAATTCAATACTAATTGCCTTTTGTAAATAAATGCACTTCCTGTAGTATATGATGAACACAAAGAGTGGTGGTGGGAATGCCCGGGAGATGGATTTCGAGAGTTTCTTGGACTTTGTTCTGGCTTTAGAAAATAAAGACACCCCAGAAGGATTGACATACTTATTTCGGTGCCTTGATCTTCAAGGGAGGGGTTACCTCACTACAGCTGATATTCATTCCCTTTTCAGGTAAATTGTCATTATGTTGCTATACTAGTATTTATTAAGTATTTACCAAAATCTTTTTCTATAGTCTTTTTCTTCACTATTTTTCTTGGGCTCTTTGATTTTAACATGCATGTGGTATTGATATTAGTTTTTTTTTTTTTTTACAATAAATTTTCAATGTTCTAAACAAGTAACTAATGTTTATTTCTGTCATGGGAAGAATAGAAGGGGAGCATCTAAATGAAAAGATGCTGCCTGATACAATCTTCCTATAGAGAAAAACTGTTGTTTCCTGCTTACAGCGCTTGAGCAAGTACTGTAGGTCTCGAATAGACAGTGACAAAATAGTTGTAAGATGGAATCCCGGAGATTTTTGATGTCCCGTAACTGGCAATGTGATTTGATGGTTATGTAATTTGACATTGTCAGTTTAGCTTTTCACTCACAGACCCCTTTCTTGTGAAATAAACAGAGATGTACACCATAAATGGATAGAGGGTGGCAACTATGAACTTTGTATTGAAGATGTAAGAGATGAAATCTGGGATATGGTTAAGCCAGCAGATCCACTCAAGATAACATTGGCAGACCTACTGTCCTGCAAACAGGGTGGAACTGTAGCCAGCATGCTCATAGATGTGCGTGGTTTCTGGGCTCATGACAACAGAGAAAATCTTCTCCAGGAGGAAGAAGAGCCAGAGGAAGAATGATACTGATCATGAGCTTGCTAACATAAAAGTGCTGTCTCAGATACATTTCAACTTAGGATTCCTCACAGGATGTAACACCGCTCATATGTTTGAATTATTAATTGTGGAATTAGTTGTGTTTTTTGGCATGTTAACTGTAAAAAACATCATAAAATAGTGTGTATGTAGTAGTAGCCATTGGTTCTAAGTTCGATCCTAAACTATAGCCAAATGCTTTTTGATGATTGGATATAAAGTACGATATTGCTTTGTTATCTATGCTAACTGCTAAGTGATGTCCAATAATTCAATTTTTTTAATAAGTTATATAATCTCACTTTATTATTTAATTAATATTATAATTTAAATTATTTAAATTAATTATAGTCAAAGTCATTATATTTTAAAAATAAACATATATCTTATAAACAAGTTAAGCTAAACTTTTATAAAGTATAATTTACATATTTTTCCCCATCTCATCCCGAGTATTTTTTTAATTTTCATGTTTTTAATTGTTTTGTATAATTTTTTTTTCTTTTAATTTACTAGTTGATTAACTAATTTAAGAATTCCTCCTACTCTTTCAAAAACTAATAGAAAATAGATTTTTAAGTCAACAAACTAAGGTTTTAAAAAGAACAAATCAAACTTAAAAAAGAAAATTCGTAAGAAATATCAAGTCAAAGTCAAGCCTTAAATTATTTAAATACAACATATTTATTTTAATAAAGTTTTGAGAATCCTACGTTGTATACATAAGAAATCGAGGAAGTCTTATTTTGGTCATAATTATAAAAGAAAATATTTTTCATAATTATAAAAAAAAAATATTTTAAAATGTTTCATAATTATAATATATATTTATTTATTTGTCATAATTATTAAAAAATTACATTTTAAAACGTTAGTCGATAATTTTTTATACTCTTAATTTATTGAGCATCGGCTCATTATCAATTAAATTATTCTTTTTGATATCGGAGGCATGCAATGTGACTTGAGCTTCAGAAATTAGGGTTAAGTTTCGTTCCAAGTTCCCTCCATTCACTTGATGGTTAAATAATCGAATTCCAAACCCTTGTAGTTGTACCGCACAGGCCCCGTAATTATAAGAATTTCACCACCACTTTCATTTCAAAGGGTTCCCACTTCCCACCCAACCTCTCATTCCCTCAACAATCTTTTACGGAACCTCAAAAATCCTGACTGTTGTTGCACTTTTCAGAAACTACGGTTTCTCAGATTCCACTTGAGCCACATTATTCAAAAACAAATCGAAGCTGCTTCGTATGCTTCAATCTCCCAACTTGTTCAGAGTCATTAGACATGATTGTTTCCATGCTTTGATCTTCAAAGGACCTTACTATAGCTATATTCACGCCCTTCTCTGGTGAACTTTCATTCTGTTGATATACCATTTATATAATATTTACATCTATGTCTAATGTGTTTGTTTTTCCTACTATTTTTTTTGGCTCTTTGATTTTAACTTGCATGTGGTAGTGAAATTAGTTTTTTACACAAGTTTTCAATGTTCTAAACGAGTAAAGAACGTTTGGTGCTGTTATTGGAAGGATAGAAGGGGAGCATCTAGATGCCGAGATGTTGCCTGATACAATCTTCCTATAGAAAAAAAAAACTGTTATTTCCTGTTTGCAGTGCTTGAGAAAGGTCTGCAAATCTCAAATACACAGTAACAAATTAGTTATAAGTTGGAACCCACAAGATATTTGATGTCCCCTGACTGGCATTGTGCTTTAGTGATTATATTACCTGACATTGTTATTTTAACTTTTTTTTTTCCCCTTAATTGTAAAAATAAAAACAGAGATGTACACGGTAAATGGATATGTTTCAGCTAGAGGGTGTCAACTATGAAGGTTGTTATGAAGACATAAGGAATGAAATTTAGGATATGGTTAAGTCCGCCTTGATGTCACTTGGCCTACTTGTTAGTGATAACTGTAAAATCCCAATAATCGGGACTAATTGGTGTTTGTGTCGGTGTTCAGCATCAATGTTGTTGGCAAGTAATAGTGAAAGGAAATGCTGAGGAAGAAGATCCACTATGTCAGGTTTTGCTTGGGTTGAGTGGTTAAAAGTTTCCTTTTTTATAGAAAACCCAAGAAAGCTTAAATGGTAGTTACAAAATTGATTACGTTGATGAAAAAATGTTCAACTGTGAAGCAGGCAAAGCAAATCCATGCCCACATATTGATCAATGGTCTTACCCGTCTTCAACCCCTTTTAATCCATCACATGCTTCTCTGGGATGTCACTAATTACAGAACCATGGCACACTATGCCTACTTGATGCTTCACCATTTACATAATCCTGATTCTTTCTCGTGGGGTTGTGTAATTCGATTCTTCTCTCAAAAGGGTCTATTCACTGAAGCCGTTTCTCTCTATGTTCAAATGCACAGGATGAGCTTGTGTCCAACTTCACATGCTATATCCTCTGCTCTCAAGTCATGTGCTAGGATTCAGAACATGTTGGGTGGTGTGTCAATTCATGGGCAAGTTCATGTGTTTGGGTTTAATACCTGTGTTTATGTACAAACTTCCCTTCTAGATTTGTACTCAAAAATGGGTGACATGGCAACTGCTCGGAAGGTGTTTGATGAAATGGCTGAGAAAAGTGTGGTTTCCTGGAATTCTTTGTTGTCTGGCTATGTAAAAGCTGGTAACTTGGATGAGTCTCGAGATTTTTTTTACGAGATTCCTGGGAAAGATGTCATATCTTGGAACTCTATGATCTCTGGATATGCTAAAACAGGAAATATGGATCAGGCATGTACTTTGTTTCGACAAATGCCAGAGAGAAACCTGGCCTCCTGGAATGCAATGATTACTGGCTTCATTGATTGTGGAAGCATAGTGTCGGCAAGAGAATTTTTCGATGCAATGCCGAGGCGAAACTGTGTCTCTTGGATAACAATGATTGCTGGGTATTCACAGAGTGGGGATGTTGACTCTGCTCGTAAACTATTTGACCAGATGGATCACAAAGATTTGCTCACATATAATGCTATGATAGCTTGTTATGCTCAAAATAGCAAACCCAATGAAGCCCTTGAGCTATTCAATGATATGCTTAAACCAGATATCAATGTACATCCAGATAAGATGACTTTGACTAGTGTTATATCATCTTGTTCACAATTGGGGGATCTGGAACACTGGTATAGCATTGAGTCACGAATGAAAGACTTCGGAATTGTATTGGATGATCATTTGGCTACTGCTTTAATAGACTTGTATGCAAAATGTGGAAGCATTGACAAGGCATATGAGCTATTCCATAGCCTGAGAAAGAAAGATTTGGTTGCGTATTCTGCAATGATCTATGGCTGTGGAATTAATGGAAAGGCATATGATGCAATCAAGTTATTCGAACAGATGCTTGCTAAATGCATTGGTCCTAACTTAGTAACCTACACTGGACTCCTAACTGCTTATAATCATGCTGGTATGGTTGAAAAAGGTTATCAGTGCTTTAACTCCATGAAGAACTATGGACTGGTGCCTTCAATGGATCATTATGGAATCATGGTTGATCTATTGGGGAGGGCAGGATATCTGGATGAAGCATATAAACTTGTAATAAATATGCCAATGCAACCAAATGGTGGTGTTTGGGGAGCTCTGCTTCATGCATGCAGATTACACAATAATGTGGAACTTGGGGAAATAGCTGTCCAGCATTGCATTAAGCTGGAGAATGATACAACTGGTTATTGTTCTCTTCTTTCTAGCATATATGCTACTGTTGGAAAATGGCATGATGCCAAGAAGTTTAGAATGGATATGGAAGGAAAGAAAATCATCAAGATACCTGGATGTAGTTGGACAAGTATCTAATTTACAGTTTAATGTTCATATATTATTTGTGAAGAAAATATACACTATTAATTATATAGAAAACATGCTAAATATAAATTTTAAACAAATTATTATAAAATGATTAGTTTTTAATTACAAGACGATATATAATACGATAAGTATGGAGAGAAACCTTTACGCTCGCTAGTGTGCACAAATTAAATTATTTAACTTATTAACTTTATTTTTCCTCTGTCCAGTTAAGATGACTTGAAATGAAAATAACTGGTTATTTATCAAGTCCTCAAAGTTTAGTTCACAACCTAAATAATAAAACAGAAACTTCACTTAATTCCATTATAAAATACTTAAATAATAGTATGGAAATTTCATTTCATTTCATTCCATTCATAATAGCGTTATGATTTGAAAGTTTTATAAGATAAAATTCTCCTCATACAACAAACACCTAATTATAATTTAGTAAGAGGATTGTTATATCCTTCGAAATATTAAAATATTAATATCTTTTTAATAAATTTATTATAAAATAATTATTTAATTTAATATTTTATAATTTAAATTAATTTTTTAATAATTCGAAATAATTTTTAGAACATCTATTATTTTTCTTTTAATAATGATGACATAAGACATTCCACTCATTAATTCTTTTACTATATTTTTTTCACATTTTTTTTATTACAAAACACTTTAATTTTAATAAAACAGCAAAAAAAAGTGACCTCCTCCCCCCAATCTCCGTCTTATTTTCCATTCTAAATAAATATATATTTTTTACGTATATCCAAACAAAGTGATAAAGGAAAGGACACCTGCGATACTCGACGTTTTCAAATGATGGCAGCTCTAATCATAGAACACCCATGTAGACATTTATCACGGTTCTATATTATCGTTTAAATTTGGTAAAATTATTTTTAAATATTTTAATGTTGTTAAAATACATTTTAAATTATATGCTTATAATAAAATAAAAGGATTCTCTTAAAAAATAAGTATGTATTGATGGTATAAAATAATTTGTGGTAATTAATTTTTATTAAAAAAGGAAATAATGTTTAAACTTGAAAAAAAAAAGAGAACTGAATAGAGGGTCTGCTTTTGTCCTTTTACTTTCTGTGGGGCCCATAAAGCAAACACTGACGTGTGATACGGTCTATGCTTTTCCTCATCGACCAAGTCCCGAGACAACTGACCCCACTTCGCGCTGAAATTGACAATTAAAAAAAACAAAACTTTTACTAAAAACATGACATTTCATATTATTAGTATATTTTTTATACTACTTTGTTTGTATGTATAAAACTTCTCTCTTCTTTTTTATTTGTCATTTTTATAAGACTTTTTTCTTCTAATTATTAATTATATTAATTATATATATATATATTTTTGGTTCGTTCCTAGAGTAGTTAATCTCCTCGCTACGTTGGAGGCACCTCAAAGGGTGGGATAGCTGACCCCAAGATTTAACGCGGTTGCATACACAAGGCAGGATTTGAACCCCTGACCTTGCTTAAGCGTGGATCAACCCCTACCGCTGAACCACACGCTTGGGGTTA